TCTGAGTCAAAACGAAATTCATGTGTGGACCACAGCATGCCATCGATAGGGGTTGAAAAACAAAGCTAAGAACACCCCCCCCCCCCCGAGATCAAGCAATATGTGTGCAAGATTTGGTACCAATTGATTCGGTAGTTCCCAAGTCTATATAATACGACGTATTATACATTCATATACATAGGTACTTTATATATTTAGATGATATTAGATATAATAACATATAATAAACCTATACCGAATCCGACACGTATAGTTTTGAATCGCCCTGCAGTATATTATACACATTTATCGATAACCCGATACCGCGTACAATATATTACAGTCGATAACTGGCGAGTCGCAAATAAAAAATTATTACCATGACTTACCCCTTTCGCGGGGAGACGACTGCGACGACGATGACTCCGAATTAATTTGTTTTGACTGCGCCATCATACCGACGCGACCCTTCGCGCGCTCATCCATTAGTGATGGGTTTATCGGACGGCCGATTTGTTATATTAGATATATATATATTATAAATACTACATGCATATGGTCCAGAGAGAGTGAGAGTGAGTACGATAATAATAATATAATATATGCCACCGAATAAGTGCAAATAATATCCCTCAGCAGGCGACCTTAACGGGGACGGACGTGCACGTCCGAAACGCGATATATCGAGTTTCGCGCGTTCGAGTAATTAAATTCGATGCTTTTACGGATTTTTAAAATTAAAACTAATTGGCATAATCAAAATGTTTCTACGTGTGTGTACGCCGCACAATGTCATCGCTCCGTGTACACACGACCGACAATAACCATACTATATTTTATAACCGGAAGTACGGGCCGAAAAATATGTTATAATTTATAACTATATTGTATTATATTATATTCAATCATAACACCACATACGTATCGTGTGTCAGAGTTATTAATACTCTTACCATTAATAATACTGTTTTATAATATTCAACGTGCAGGCCCATCGCGGACATTTCGAATGACGATCCGTTAATAATATTAATAACAATATTATCGAACTACCTAAGCGGTAACATCATTTTTTACAGTAACGTCATATTCTTTTTTTTTTTTTTTAATAATAATAAAATCTATAAATTAATATGATTTTAATAATACAATTTTTTTTTTTTTACAATTAATACATTAGTTATTTAATTTACCCCATTAAGCAGAGCTTGTGGCGAGGTAAATGAGTTGTTAGTTTACAAATAAAAACTATAAAATACATTTAATTACAATATTTATATAAGTTAATTCATAATAGCATACAAATAACAGTTAAAGGTTCAGTAACAACCAGTTTACAATAGTTTTTTTCTTAAATACATAATCATTTTTATATACATTATTTACAATATTCTTTTTCAGCTCAAGTGGCATAGTATTAAAATTAATTGAACCTAAATAATCTACGAACTTATTACCTATATTTTTTTTTGTGTAACTAACCTACAGATCGTAAGCCGTGTGTTCCCACATGGAACAATATTATGTTACGTTATTGATTAAAGGTCGAATTTTATTGATAGGTATTGCAATTTTATTTGCAGAGAAGATAAATTATATCTGATTATGATAATATATTTGTACCTATATATAGCTAAATTATACTACATAATATTATATTCCTATTTAAATTTATTGTAACATTTTTTGCATTTCTTACCAAATTTAAAAATATAAAATCAATATTATTGCTTAATGATTTTGTTGCCAGAAGATAATCTGTGGATGTTCATCGTGATTCATGGTCATTAAGATGACAGTTTATTATTCTTACCATTTCACAAACACCGACGGGCGTATCCATCGTGAACCATTCAAATAAAAGATATAAAAATTGTCTCAAATAACATTTATACTGTGTCACACACTCACACTAATTGTTCAGCAGGTATTAAACTAATTTATTGTAAGCCTATATCGATTATCAAAATTATAGAAAATCAGTCATTTATAAATTTGTGTTGCTGCACTGCACATGTTCACCGTTACTTTTTAACTAAATCGTTAAACAACACATTTTTAACAAAGTATGAAAATATCATATTTAATAATCAATTTTAATTCAAAAAAATAACACTAATAAATTAGGTAGTTATCTTTTTTTTTGTATAACTATTGCATTTTTTTAGTGCAATTTATTTTGCAGGTTTTATTTTTTTACACGTATTTTTACGTATTATATTGCGTGTGCAATTATACAAGTTTAATACGTAATTTTTGTGTGTTTTTAATGCAATTAAATCCTGGTCTTTCGGTTTTATAATAATAATATGGACCCATAGAGTTAAAAAACAGAAATTAATATTAATAACGAGTACCGGACACTGCTATAATAATACGATATAATATACGAATGACAAAAAAAAAAAAACACTCAGACCCCTGACTACCGAGTATCGTTATTAATAATTTGTAGTGTGACGCGTAAAATATTATTCTTCGGCGACTCGTTAAAAAGTCGCTCATTAGCATTCCGTGGGTATATTTTATTAACATTGGCTTTTTCGCGCCTATTTCCCGACGAAAAAGGGTATTAAATGGGGACCGCGGGCGTATTAAAAAACACAAAATGTGCATGGTATACCGGTTTATTTATTCAACGTAAGACACTCATTATTTCATAAAGTATTAATGTTTTTACGTGGTTAAAAGTCGTTGCAAAATAAAGTTTATTTTCAACTATTTTTTTTTCTTATGATTGTTTTATGTTCTTGACATTTTCCCATGACAACGTACAGATTTCATTTCATTTTCAAAAGCAACATTTTTACCTGATTGTATTGATACATATAAATCAAATTTAGGACTAGCAGTTTTCTTTTATTTAGAAACAACCTGTGGCGCCATAAAAATAGTCTAAACAGATTTTTTTAAAAATTGTATTTCTTTAACTAATGGCAACTGGCAACCCATATTATATTATAAACAGTGTATGTATTCAAAACTAAATTCATCCGTGAGTCCTATAAGAACCTATAGGGGTTGAAAAACGTTCTTTATTTTTCACAATTGAAAATATTTGTACATATGTTATGGAAAAAAAATCATTACTGCAGACACAATCTAAAAACAGCGATTTTATGTGAATATTTTATTCGAATAATATTTACCATTGCAAATATGACTGTATCATAATATAGTTTTCGAAACGAGTGCAGTACACGTGTCGATAATTTTGTAGACATCCCATGTTTTAGTGGCGAGGCTCCTACCTCCACTCCTCGCGCCCTTCGATCGGCCACTAATTACTCGTACGTGAATATACATATCTCGGTGCTTCTATGCGTACATTGTACACATTATATATATTATTATATTCGTGTATTATACACCACGCGCGTGATGTGATATCGGTCGTATCGTCATCGAATTAACGCGAGTCGTCCGATTTAAAATCGTTCGTTTCGGCCTCGGATTACTAATCCAATCCCGGGCGCGCAGTAAAACGCCGCCGTCAGCTCGGTTTTATTATTAATTAGCCGAAACAGCCTGCGGGACTATATATATCCTATTTCGTCCTGTACGCCTCGTACCTAGATGTCTATACGTAATATATAATATTGCACACAACCAGCGTGCTCGACGTTGAAATATGATCGGCCGGACCCTATATACGTTTGCATATATATATGTATATAATATTATACTGCAGCGGACGATGATGCACACGCCAGGATAACGTCATTATCCTGAGCCACACACACACACACTTTACTCTCGTCGGCTTTAGGTACTTATTTAAGTGTACTACGGGCACTGGTGGTCGTATATAATGCGTATAAAACATCGTCTGTGTGTGTGTGTGTGTGTGTGCATGTGTAAAACGCGTCCGTCAAATATATGACTATAATAATATACACACACACACACGAGACACCGCACGAATATTAAACACGTACGATATATGTATATATGTGTAGGGCACGTATATAATAATATGATGTATACGATCACATTATGATATTATTATGGTCGAGCACATTAATATATTATATAACCTTCGACAGCGGTCCGTATAATATTTACGCGAGCAAAGGCCGCCGCCGCCGCCGCATTAAACGTATAGTATAATATTCTACGCCTAATATTATTATATTATATTATTATTATGTATATTATGCGAGCCGAGGATGGTTATAGCCAGACGACGTTATAACCGTTTAGATCGTTAATATACAAACACACACACGACTAATAAAATATTATAAGAGAAACGGACACCTATATAACACGATATTATGTGTATATATTATACGTACAATGTGTCGAGTGCGATATATATATATATTGGTTTTAACGACCGACGACGACGTATAGCGAGGTATTTGTTATAATGTACCTACATTGTAATGACATTGTTAATATTGTAATGCCGTCGAGGTGACGTTTTCGAAATTCGAAATTGCCCAACCGACGGATCGAAAAACATAAATGTTTGTCTCGACTAACACTGGTCGCGATTCGATTTGAAGTGGTAAAATTGGTATTTTGGTAAATGTACCTACTTATCTGCAAATAAAACAAAAAACAAAAACAAACCAATGTATATCTATTTGAATTAATGTTTAAAAATTATAAATAATTCATCACACAAATTATTATGATGTCAAACATGTTTTAAAATAAAATTGTAATACATTATGAAATGAGGTGTAAAATTAATATAATTTGGTAAATAATTAACAGCCGTTAATATTCTTAAATATTTTAGGTATCCCTAAAAATTGTGGCAAGTTCGAACAATCAATATTCATGAAATATTTGTGTATTAAATGATAATATAATTATTAAATGGTTTTGAGGGAAGTTGTTACTATAATTTAAAACGAACAAAAGTAAAAATCCAAAAATATCGTACCCGTACAGAATAAAATTCCACATTTCAATCATGCCGGCAGGGTAAGGGGATGGAGTCGACTCCAACGATACGTTTTTAAAATTATATTTATATAAGTATTACATGGAGTGGGTATGTAATTCTGTCAAAAATCGATGAATTTCATTTCGACCTCTTCAGTTTTACCGTTGGTCGATTTCGAATTGAACATATTTATAAGATCGGTTACCCTGCTGGAACTTTGCGAACGACCGTGTAAAGACGATTTTCCGTCAGTTAACTTTGTTGCTATGGCTTTCTATAAAATAAAACAAAAAAAAAATATACATATAATATATATTCACAATTCACATATTATAGATAAGACACATACAATACGAAGGTGATAAAGTGAATGGAACATTATATTGAATTGAAATATTGAGTATACAGGTAATGTTTGGATAAAACGATCGATACAATAAACCTATCTATAATAAAACAATTATTCTCCCATTCAAATCATTACATTCTACATAAACACGTAAATTAATGTACTTTTGATACTTTAAATTAATGTAGACGTTTATTTCGATGAAACTACCGATGCCAGAAATATACGTTCGATACAAAACAGCATTTTCCGGTTACTGGTTACCGCCAGTGGTTAAGCTGACCGATTCCAAAGCTTCGCAGATCGGGACATTTGTACGGCTTTCCATTGGCTTGTCTTCCTTAACTTTATCCTCCTCAATCGATGTAGATTCGATTTCGGAACTATCGGTAAACGGCTAAGAATATAAATGAAACAAAATGTCAGTAAAATTATCAAGAACTCGAGAAGGTAAACAGAAGGTTGAGGAAGGTACAAATAATGAAAAATACATCACTATTAAGGTACTGTCTTGATTCACCTAGCTAAGTATGCATTTTATTCAAATTCTGATTTTTTTTTAATTTCCTAGTACCTATACTATACTATACTACCTATACTATACCTTTATCTACCTAGACTAATTTTCAAACAATTTGACTTTTTTGCCATCTAAATGGTATCCTGCGGTGATACAAACTTCTCTTTTTTTTAATGAGAACCATAATTTTAATGATTAATTTTTTAAAGAAATTTTTCAATGTAAGTAGTGATATCAAAATTAAAATGAGTAGTTTATGTGTTGTTCCACTTAAGGATAAATTTGTTTCCAGCTCAGAATAACATGCTTAGGAAATATGGGAGCTATTATAATGATATTATGCATATTTTAGTAGCATATTCAATGAATCATGATTAATAATAATTTAAGTATTTTTAAATTTAGTACTTATAAGTTTACTTAAAACTTGCATTATTTAAGGATTAAAGTGAGTGATCATTGTTAGTGAATTTGTATATTAGATATATAGTTTTTATTCCAATTTTGAAAAAAACAATATTGATCAACTGGAGCAATAGTTATTATTTTATATCATGTTTATAGCTTATTACATGTACATATAAATTACAAATTGTACTACACCTTGGTTGCAAAAATGCAATCCATGTATAAGTTGAGATTGTAAATAATATTAGTTGAAAATTATTCTGAATGTTTATTTTTTTTTAAACCTATTTATTGTCTATGCATAATCATTGAGCAGCGCCAAAATAAATTAATATAAAATATATTACATTAAGATGTTACAGAAAACCTGGACGCAGTGTAGCTAAATAGCCTACTCAAGACGCCGTGTCATAAAAATAGTATTTATTGAAATGGATCAAATTAAATATTATAAAACCTTATGTCTTTCGTCTCGGCAAAAATGTATACAATTATTAAGTAGTACCAACTGCGAAAATAATAAAATGGATAGTGTATCAATAGCGTGAGTATAATATTATAATAGTGTCATATTTACCGGAAACAGCGTTTAATAAGAAACATTTAATACAATTTGGTAATTCTACTATTGTTTAGAATTAATATTTATTTGAAAAATGTGATACATCCCGATCTGCGAATAATCATTGCTTTATTTTAAAAACACTACATTGGTAATTCTGAGGAATTGCATTATTTATATAAAGCATAATAACAAATCAAGGGATAAAAAATAAGTACGTTTTTAAAATTAAAACCACTAATAAAATAAAATAGTCACCTAATGTACAGCGTATAACTAATATGAATACCTACAATTGATGAATCCTTATATTGTATTGAACAATATTAAATTCTAAATTGTACAATGACCCAAGTTGTCATAATAATAATAATAATAATAATAATAATATTAATATTTATCATATGACGTTATCATCAGTGTTGAGACTTATATAGATTCATTTCTCTAGATAAAAATATTAATTATTATCTATTATCTTATAAAAATCTATATTTTATCGATTTATCTATCTTAGATGAAAACTCCAGTCATCTACTGTAATTCATCTAGACATTTTTTTATGTTGTAGAAATAATTTTAATTAATTAAAATATTATTATTTATGTTTACGGTAATATTATTATGTACTATTTAAGAATTTCTCCAATTTAAGAATCGTGATATCTTAACAAACATGTTATGTAACTTTCTATTTGAATGCTGTTATTGTAAAACATAAATGCTGAAGACGAACAATGACAAAAATGCCTATATTTATGAGACGATTTTTTTTCGAAAAATGGCATTATAATATACCTAATAACCACTTATTATATCACGATCACAGTATTATAACATAGTCTTTCGAATAATCGATTAAAAACCTATACACTCCGCCAACTGCACTGTGCAGTAATATTATTTAAAGCATGATTTATTCACTTATTACCATGACTAAAGTTCTATATATTACATAAAATAATGATAACTATCAACCTTAAACGCCATTATATTGCGTCATATTAGTCTTTAATCATGTTTAAATAAAATAAAATATATTATTATAACGTGGAAAATTCGACTCATAATAATATTATGTTCAACTTATTTTAGCCGAAAACGTCACTATAACCACAAACATCTTTGCTCCAGACCGTTGACCTATATTGTACGCGTATTTAATAATGTTCTAACAACTCACTTCTTCAATAGTGTTGAACTCGTCAACTAGACGTCTGACGATTCCGGGATCGGGCTGAATCGTTTCGGGTGGAGTTTTCGTTCCATTCGACTTCCAGTTGTCGATGACTAGTTCCAGCTTTAGCGGCTTCTTGACCACTAAGTCCTTGTCGTTCTTGATCGTGATCGTTTCGTCGAACGTTACGCACCGTTTGCAAGAGTCCGCCAGACAGCAGCCACCGTCCTGAAGTGGTTTGGCCACCACCGAGGTTGACTGTAGGGGTGACCTATCGTTCCGGACGAAAATTCGCCGTTTCAGTATGCCTTTGCCCTGCGGATACGGATAAAGTTCGATTTCATAGTGAACATTTTATACACCCAAGTACTGGAAGACAGTATTTTGTTTCATATTTTTAGGTTATCTTTTGTAAACTTTCTACGTTATCTGCAATCATATTCTTTTTCAATTGAAAATTTCAAAGAACATTAATTATAAAAATATTTTTCCATGAGATTGTACGAAATAGTGGACAATATGCACAATATGTGTATTTCATAGACGCTTTTACAGACATACGGTAACCAGTAGGTAATGCCATATAGGTACCTATAATAGGTATTGTAAATTGTTGTGGTTGCCACTCTAGCAAACGTATGAATATGACATTTTAGTTATTAATCAACGTAAATTAATCTATTAAAAGTATATAGAGCTCAGTTGCATAGTATATTGAATAAACAATGAACAATGAAATATTATCAAACGGATTTTGTATTAATAATACAATATATAATATAGGTACCTATGTGTTGTTTTATTTTATTTTATAACAAAACGGGGCGTGTCCCAAAGTACAGAACAAAATATGTGTATACACAAGAAAATTATAAACTCTAGATATTGTTTATACGTTACATCAACAGGGCTGGCCTGGCCGAACACGTTTTAAGGGCATAATTTTATATTTCTTTGGCATATTATTTGCACTAATTTTTTTGTGCATTCGAGGTCATAATATAATATACATCCTAATACTATTAATAATAATTATATTGTGTTATGCGAGTTGTTTTCGTACATTAATTTTTTTAGTATCGTTATATTATCACACTCACAGCGACGGCATTGTTATTATCTCGGTTTGTGTCCACCATCGTGCTGATGAACACTTTGCTACAGAATTCCCCTCCACGCACCTCATCACCGAGAACGCTGTCGAAACGTACTGAGCATTACATAACCATCGAATTGTAGAAAAGTCTGAAAAAAAATTGTCAAAATAGAAATGGTTATAATATTATGATCTCCGGTGAATTGTATAATATGGAAATATTTTATGGCATTTCTGTTGGTAAAATTTCAAGAGGGGGGGGGGAGAATAAAAAATGTATCATGATTTAATTTAAATACCTAAAAATATAATGTTATTTCAATATATAAAATATGTAAATATGCTAGGACGCTAAGTAGGGGGAGTCATTTGCGGGGTGCAGTGTGTACATTTGCACCAACTTTTTTTTAAAACGCCTACTTTGGCCGTCCATTTATAAATATAAGCGCCGATATACCTAAGTATTTTATATTATAGGTATATCTTTTATATTTTTTCAGTTTTAAAAAAAAAAAGGTGGGTAAGTGGATGTCGCTCTGCTGTACAGTAGGTTACAAGTGGGTCACTGTATAATTGATGCTATTAAATTTGAATTCAATGATACAATATCATTGTATAAGAAAAACGATTCTGAGCGAAGACGGTATGTCAGTCTAGGTTAAGACAAATTATATACATATCTATGGTATTAAAAAAAAATTGACCTATAATAAATTCCAAATTAATCATATCACATTATCACAATATCCATTAGGTACTAATAACACGTTATACACCAACAACAAACCCTGATACTATCATATATATATAATAGTACACTTTAGAAGTTTCAAGTATTTACCCACGAATAATATTATATAATCACAACAAAATAACTAGGTTTTTTAATATGTAATTTCATCAAAATTTGAACATAAAATGACTATAAAAATAAACTGTGATTGTATATTTTTTAGATTTTTCGGTAAGAGAATTAACTACTTACGTGAAATCTTGTTTTAAATTTTCAATCCTTAGCTATAAAAACTGAACATTTTATAATTTATTAATTACGATGATTAATAATTTTCGAGATTTTGAAAAATTCTGTCAAAATTCGATGTTAAAATGCTTATAAAAAAAATTGTGCCTATGTATTTTTAATATTTTTCAACTGATATTGTAACAATATATCAGGAGCCTTGTACTACATTTTTACACTTTTTGGCCCAACAGATAAAACTTAATTAATATTTATAGAAAAAAAAAACTAAAAAAATTGAAAACTGAAAATGTCCGTAAACGGCTCAAAAAGAGTCAAAATATTTTCAAAATTGTATGGTGTATAGGAAATGCTAATATAAACATTCAGTGAAATTTTCATGTATCTACAGTAATTCGTTTTTTAATTACAACAAAAAAAGGAAATTGCCACATGAGAAATCGAGTGAATATCCAATGTTGTAAAAATTTGAATTTCAAACGCTCATAAAAATTTAATTTGACTTTCCGGTAGAGATTTTTTATTGATAAAGGTAGACAATCTTATGAGTAATCTTGTATTAGATTTTCAAATCTTAGATTTAAAAAGAAAAATTTTTACGAATTCTTAACTCAAAATAATTTGCTAATTTTCGTGATTTTTCCATATTTTGTCAATTTTTGAACTTTAAATGCTTATAAAAAAAAATTGTGACTAAGGATTTTTAATATTTTTCATCTGCCCTTGAAACAATATATTAGGAGCCTTCTATTAAATTTTCAAGCTTTCGCAACCAACAAATAAAATTTTATTGATATTTCTAGAAAAAAAACTAAAAAAAAAACTAAAAATGAAAATGTCCCTAAACTGTTCAAAATAAATCAAAATATTTTGAAAATGTTATCGTGTATAGAAGATGCAAATATAAACAACCAGTGAAAATTGCATGTACCTACGGTCATTTGTTTTAAAGTTACACCAAAAACCAAATTCAATTTTCTGAAAAATCGATTTTGCGTAAAAATTCCCGTTTTTCCTTAATTTTTCTTTTGTTTTTCCCGGCGCTCTTGAAAACTACTGGGAAATTTAAATTTTGACCTCCCCAATGCACCAACGATATTCACTTTCCAATCGAACAAGATACTGAAGTCGAAAATCGAAGCATTATTTCGACTACTTATCGTGTACACAGACACAAAAAAAATAAAAAATAAAATAAAAAAAAAATAAAAAAAAATAAAAAAAAAAACACACATCATTGTAAAATCAATACATTCATCGTTTCACTCAGAATCTAAAAATGTATTGTACTTATGATTAATTTCCAAAAACGTTTGATGTCGTTTTGTGGTCCCACAATATTATAATTTATAAAATTATAACACAAACATTGTGAAGAAGGGTACCCATAAAATAAATGTCTGGTTTTATTAAGCTAGCAGGCTAGCTAATTAATATTATATATTTTGAGTATGCAGGGAGAAAAAGTGTGTAGGTTAGGTTCGGTTAGGTATTTTATTATAAAGATGTTTTATACCTATACATTTATTTACCAAGTGTAAATACCACTGTACACTGGTACCCACAGTATAAAATAAATATATTAAAAGTACCTACACATAGTTCGTCAAAAATAGCAACAGCATTGTGATATTTTCATACTAATATAAGTGACATATTAAATAAATTATACAAATATTGTAGCTCCCCCCCCCCCCCCAAAAAAAAAAAAAAGTTTTCTATGTGGCCTGTTAATGATCTGAATGGCCTGCAAACATTTTGGCACCCAAAAAAAAAAAAGAAATGACGCCCCTGCGCTAGGTACCTATTAATAATTAATATTTGTACTGTTATTTATAGAATGTGACGTATAAATTAGTTGTAATATGTGTACGGTGTAAAAAAATAGTAAATCAAAGTATAATCAAATTTATTATTCGATAAATACAGAAAGTACTTTTCTTCGTTTCATTCTAAACTTAATAATAATAATATGTGGGACGTCAATAATATTATGTCATTTAATATTACAACAATAATTTTATATTATATTTTTTTCAGGAGTGAGCAGGTCCTGCTCCCCCTCACAATGGACGGTCGTGAAAGAAACTGTTTCGTTCGTTCGCATCACTTTAACTGTTAGAATAGGCATGTACGATAATAACATAATTATTATTTTATACCTGACATATTTGTACAACTGTTGAGTTAAATATTTCGAAACGTTTGCAGGACTGCAGTTAGATCTCCGAGTGGTTCGCATTGCACATTATTATGATTTATTGTCGACTCGTCAGCGTTCTCGTCGCGAGTATAATATACAATAAGGAACCCAAAATAAACACTTCGGCTTAAATGTATTTATAATATCGTATTGTGACCGTCTAGTGAGCTGACGGAGGAGAAAACCAATATTATTCTAAAATCTTCGACGACGATTGTATACAATACAACATTATATTATATCTGCAGTATTTCGCGTCTCCTCTGCTGTCGGAAGTGTAATAATAATAATACGAATAGATGTACAATAATATGCTCTGCGCGTATACTTTGGCTCTTTTCGTTGACAATAACGCTTTTAACAGTTTTTAACTTTTTTTTATTTGGTTCAGTCAAGCCATGTCGGTGATTAATGACTTCTATTGCGTCGATATAATAATGTTCCGAACACGCCAGGGCTTTAAACGCGCTAATCAACTGAACGTGCTTTAGCGGTAATTATGTATTTCATTCTTACTTCGTAGTATAGGTAAGTACCTAATAACATAATACATACATAATGATATTGGTACATAATTTACCTATGTACCTATACTGTTGTTATATAAGTGTCTATTACGCGTATTTCTCTTTTCAGACATTGTATATGATTTCATTTTTTTTAAATTAGCAAACACGATTGTTTCGAGAAACGCCGCAAGTATACCTAATATAATACTAATTATTACAATCGATTTTTTTTTTAGGTTCTGAGCGGAACGATGGACGTATATCGATGTTACAATATTATGTGTGCTGTTTAAAAATTGATTATTTTTTTTTTGCCTGAAGTCATTTTTAAAAAAAATGCTCTGTTCATGAATTTTGATGTAGGTTACTAGAAGCTAATTTAAAATCTACTTCTAGGTACTTAGCATAGCTCAGTACCTGCATAGGTACTTATTTTTAAAATATTATTTTTATTGTCAAAATAAGTGTGTGGTATCTTGGTTACCAAAAAGTAAGAACGACTCAGCTCTGGTTCATTTTTCATTCTATACAATACGATTTTTCACTGAATTCAAATTTAATACTCCCATTGCAGTTATCTACGTACATAGTTAATGAAGAGGTACATTCGACGCCTGCAGTTGTCCAGCAGAGCAGTAAGTATCTAACTTGACAGAATTTTTTTTATTTACTCTTCTTTGACATGGAATTTTATTTTTACGAGTAATTCGGTGTCTCTCACCCCCTAGTCCCTCGACGTACACTATTGTCGATTAGCCTGCAATCGAATCGAAACGAAAACCATAATAGTTTGTAGGTATAGTACGTACTATATGGTACGGATTCAACAACCGTGTCGTACACGGACACGGTAATGACGTTATTTAATAATATGCAAATACCTAAAGCCAGTACGTGATCCGTTTTCGTTACGTCTTGGCGGAGCTTCAAACGATTTTTTGAAACAATATTCAATCGTGCAAATATTAAGTATATTACGAGGGGCGCGCACTAGGGTTGTTTATTTTTTACAACCCCTTTGGAAAATTCTCTTATTTTCGCGTACACATAGGTGTACAAGTGTACACAAACGCATACTGCACTGCACTTTATTCAATATATTTTATCCATCTCGCTATGGGTACAATAATATACGTATAATATGTATCGATAAAATACTGCTCGGCAGTTGTAGTCACGGCAAGATTAAACGGCGAAATCGTATTATTACCATTACCTTGTATTATATGCACGTTCGCAGCGATCGAACCGTGAAAACGACATGCAAGCCGGAAAATGCTTTTGAGTTGTTTACGGCGAACACGCACGCGGCGGCCAATAAAACTTACATGTCCTCGTACATATAAGTC